TTTTAAGTAATTTAAACATGCACTACATTATCTTCAGAATTATTAACGAGTATATGTAAACAAATCGAAATCTTGTAGCAGCGTGGATTAGTTCATAATGTACGACAACGTCTGTCTACAACGTTTAGATTCCATATAGTTTATGATATTTTGCAAACACAAGATTCGTCCGGAAATACAACATTTCGATAATCCGGCACCTACTGGAGCGCGTCGGATTAACGAATTTATACTGTAAACGGATTTTTTAGTAGGAAAACTTGAGAACGTCGTTCAAAAGTTACAAATTTTATAAAATAAGGCATTCGCTCTTTAAGGCAAACGCAGAATTATGGTTTATGCAAATTCAGTTTGATTCTTAAAGTCAAAAAATGTTACACTAAAGAATACGACAAAAATATGCTTTCCATTCAAAATATTTCTTTAAACAAAATGTTGATTTACTTTAAGTAATTCCTCGTTTGTATGACCATAAAAGAGGAATCACTTTCATATTCAGTATTATTAATTTATTCATATCTACTTTTTCAATTGAATTTCGATTCATTAGTTTTTGTCAGCTAAAACATGCACAAAAATAGTTTAAAATATATATACGTTTATATTTTACTAAAACGCTCTCTCTTCTTTTCTTCTCTTATCTTTTTCTTAGGGCCTGTGGCCCTTGCCCTTTAGTTTTTTCTGATCGGCTAGCGTCTTCTGATTGGTCGAACTTAGTGATGCTTCGAGTAATTAGCTCATGGTTCAGCTGACGCTCTGTCTGTTGATTGGTTTAGCTATGCGATCTCTCGACTGTTTGGCTTGTGATCGACTTCGGGTTGTGAGCAGGGTATAAGAAAGAAAATAGAAAAATGAAAGAAACAAAACAGCAGCAAAACATTAAACCATTTAAATTGATTTTCCCCCACATATGCATTGAGCTTATATATATCAAATCAGAAACACGAAAACGATACTATATCATAAAATTTTTCGCCATTAAAAAAGTATTTTCTTTACATTATGTAACTCCATAACTTTTAAAAATTGACTTTGTTTTTAAAGAAAATCTTTGCTTTCGACAAACTGCTTTGCTTAATTCGTGCAATTTCTTCAAACATTTTATATTCAAAATAAAATTCCTTTTTAAATAAAAACTTTCGGCTTTATTATGAACTTTTTATTACTCATTGCAATCCTCTCTCTTGATGTTCCTACAATTTTCAACTTTGAAATTTATGAATTTCTTTTAGCAATTGCTGAGGATATTTTTAAAATTGCTTTTAAAAGTTATTTCCAAGAGATTCTGTAATGAATAATTTAAATTTGTAAAATCTTTCTTTATAGTTGTATGATTAAGTTTAATATCGATTCCAATGACAGATAATTCAAAACATATGAAAAAATTTTCAATATTTTATATAAAATATTTTTAAAAGTCATAAACGAAAGTACAGTAAGTATTTCAATACATTAATCATCATACTAAATGAAGAAATGTAAATTAATTTTTCATTTCTGAGAAAACATTTGAGAAGTACTGTATGACATATAAAATCTATAAGGTAAATAAAAAAGATTTAAATTCTATCATTAATCCTAAATGTCAATAGATCTGAACTGATATAAAAGTAATTTTTTATTACAGAAAAGAAAGATTTAATTTAGAAATTTGAGAGATGTACTCAGAAAATAGGACAATTAACTTTAATGAGAGGAAGAAAAATAGTATAATTTTAAATATATTTTAATAAATCCAATACTATACAATTTAATTTACTAAAAAACTTTGACATTTGCGAAGTTTTTAAAACATTTTTTGTTGCTGAAAAATTTTAAATATCTTTTTTAAAAGTTAAATTTTTAAAGTAAGATTTTCTAAAAGAGATATAAATTTTTGTTGTAAAGAATTAGATCAAATAGGAAAGTGTATTTTTATATATCTATATATTTTCAAATTCACATAAATTAATTTAATCATTATCCTATAGTTTCTAAGCTATTCACTGTGATATTTTAATAAATTATTCAGAATTTATTATTATTTTTTAATAAACTATTTTAAATTAAGTTATAATATTTATGAAGTGTATGATGTAAACATAACTTCGTAAACTTGTATGTAAACATGAGATACTTTACGTTCGCTGAATAAATATATTTACTTTAAATAATTTATATTTTATATTCATGTATATCTATATGTATATTATATTCACATATTTAATTTTAATATAATTTAAATCGATTTTTCCATATTTTCAATCTAGGTTATGTCAGTTTAAGTATACAAATCGATAAATTTAAGTATAAAAACAGATTTTCTTCATATTTAAATCGTAATAATGAATTTATAATAATTAACATATAAATTGTGCGTTTCGGTTAAATCTAACGAAAACATTTCGATTTATGTCAATGTAAATAATTTAGAAATATTTAAGACTTTATGTTTAATAGAATTAAGCAGACAAGCAAAGAAAAATAATGATGAATAATTAGTGACAACAAATAAAATATTTAAGGACAATAATTGATTACAAATGTTAAAATTATAAATAATAAATTTAAATTAAGTTGAACATGTATGTATTTGGTGGTTTAAATAAGCTAAAAGTTTAGATATCTTTATTCATTATTTTAAAAATAAACAGAAAAATAATTAATATGAATATAAATATTTCAAGATTATTATAAACTTAACTTATTAAAATTGTATTAATTTAAATATGTATATGTAGCACGCAAAATTCACATAAAATAGATTCCACTCTCAAAATAATTATAGAATAAAATTAGTGAGGTAATTTCATTAAAAATTCCAACAATTCTCAGCATAAAATTTTCCTAAATAAACCTTTTCTATTATAAATAGATGATAATATATATTTAATATATAAATAAGTGGCTATTCATATCTTGAAATTCAGACATTTTCTTGTTTTTAATGCGAAATATTCAAATTAAAAACAGATCATTTTTAATTTACATTATTTTATATTTTACTTTAATTAAGTTAAATATTTAAAATTGAAATGTATAAAAAATATTTAAACTATTTATAATTAATAGGAAATTGCTGAAAACAAAATACTGAAATAACGAAAAAGATATTTTTATCACGAAATCAAATTTATTCTTATTTGCAATCATTAAACTTCATTAATGATACAATAGCTGAGAAGAATACAAATTTTTAATTGAGAGGGATACCAGATACTTAAATAGTTAAATTCAGCTTCTAGAATTTCACAGAAACTAAATAAATAATTGAAAATAAATATCTTTACTGAGATGAAAATATATAAAGTATTTAAAATATATTAGGAATAGTAGAAAGATATATTTAGAATCTAAAATCTTGGAGAGATCAGATCTAGAGGAAAGTAGTCATTTATCACAAGTATATAAATGTTATCCATTGTAAATCTAAGCGATAAATATACAATATCATTATTTATGATTTTGTTTATCCGGATTTTAGTTTTCATTTTGACTTCAAAGGGTGGACTGAAAAAATTGAGTAAAAATTCCAACAGGGAGAAAAAAAGGAGAAAAAAATTCATTCAAAATACTATTGAAGGAGTTCGAGCGTTCAAAACTAAATTGCTTTCTAAATTCTTCAAGTGCAATATTCACTTTTTGGATTCATACTCTTCAACGAATTTATTTTAAAAATGTTATATTTAGTTAGAAGTCAACGCGAAATTTTTTTGTATGTAATGATAGAACCTTCTAAAAATCTTATTTTCACAGTTAAAAAATGTATTTCCTAATATAAACTGATAAACACTATATATAGCGAAGAAAGTATTGAAATTCCGTAAAAGAGTAATTATTATCTTAAAATTTCTTCTTCCATAAAATGATGTGGTAAATTTACCGCTCTTTCTGAAGATTTCAATAACCACATAATGCATGCTTGTCCATATGCTATCGAAGCACGAAGAATAAATTTAAAATATTTATTTTAAACCATATCAATAATATATTCGTAAAATTTATTAATTAAATTATTATAATGTAAATTTTTACATGTAGTCTATATAATGTAGAAATTTCAAAATTTATAAAAGTTATACAGAGAAAGTAATGTAGGAATGATCAATATATAAATACAAGATCGCTAACAGTCTATTCAGATAATTTATCATTATTATGTGTTTTCAAAAGAGAGTACCTTTCTTTTAAAGTCTTGTTGAGATGGACCGCTAGCAAAGATTCTTCTATGTGGCTTATAGAATTGAGTTCGTTCTCTAGATCGATTTTGATTAAACTTTGTCGTTTTATATAATATGAGACGGAGAAATTAAAAATGTAATAAAAAACGGAGTAAGTGATTCCGTTTTCGAGATACAGTGAGGTCAAAATGACAATGTTCAAAGTCACTAGCACAAGCGTGCTCAATTTTTTATATTTTTTAAAATTCTTTTACACATCAGCGGCGACGTCGTTATCGCAGGTGGAGAGTGATCGTCGTAGATGTCTCCCAAAACAATTTCTAGCCCTTCAACTCAATTCTTGTTCAGAAAGAAAACAATCTGTGCCTAGTTAATTTCTAGGGCTTTTTATATGTTAAATGCTGATCCAAGTCTCTTCTTATCCCGATTTTTAACAGTCAAATAATTTCACACAAAAGACAATAACAAACTTTACTTGTCAGTAAACCATCCTTTTATTTTCATTTATATATATGCTTTATGGATACCAATATTGCGGTATCCTTCTTCAGTATAGATGGAAAGTTTATATCTAAAAATAATCTACACTTTAATTAAATTATTTAAAGAACCCTGGAACTATGCATAGTTAAGTTATTCTATATTCAATAAGTGATAGTTTCATAAAAGGAAATTAAGGATCAGCTACGTTATAACATGTGCTCAAGAAGAACGAAAATGTTATTTTTAAATTTTTATAAATTTAATAATAAGTAATTAAATCTTATATTAATTAAATAAAAATGCTATAAATTTGTATTGTACCTTATAGTTATTTTAAGAGTATACTTTTAAACCTACCTGATCCCTCAGTTCTTCCAGAAACAATATCACTAGGCTCTCCTTTTCCGACATTATTATAAGAAGTAATGAAAAATTGATAATTCGTTCCACACTTTAGACCAGTCAACAAATGACTAATCTGATCTCTACTCAGTTGAAGTTCTGTCCATTCATCACCGTCTTTCCTCCAGTTAATAATAAATCCTAAACAAATGTTTGAAATTTAAGAATAGAAATATTAATAACTTATATATTTATATATATATTTGTATATAAATTATACTACCAGATACTGGATTTTCATTGTCAAATATCGATTCCCATGTTAAAAGTATAGTGGAAGAAGTGACAGAATCTACTTTTAATGAAGGGGTTTGCGGAGGATCTAAATTATAAGTTAAAATTATAAGAAAGATAACCAATCATATAATGAAATTAATTTATATATTTATAAATTACCAAATTCTAGTGTTTGGACTATAACCTCATCGGAATGTGGTCCAGCTCCTCTATCGTTAAAAGCCTGGACTACAATCCTATATTTTGTAGCTCTTTTTAAGTTTCTAATCTCGCAACTCTTCTCGTATGATTCAACCTCTTCTACAGTTTTATATGTAAATGGAGTATCATCAGGAGCATTATATGCTTTATAACCGACATGATAGCCTTTAAGTAGACCATAATGAAGAATTGACACTGGAGCCTGAAAGATTTTTAAATATTTAAATGTATATTTTTGATATATATTACGATTCATTCACTTAAGCGTACCTGCCAAGTAACGTGCAACCTACTCGACCCTATAGGAGTTGCGTGTACTTTAACGGGTGATCCTCCAGGTGCTGTAAAGATGTAATTCGTCTTAAGAGGTTTGATTTAAGTGCTTCCATCTAGCGAGCAAAAGATAATTAACAATCACTAATAAATCTGAATTATTATCTGACCTTCTCCATCGGTAATAACTGTTAAAATTTCGCTAAATTGACTTCTTCCTAATCTATTTTCGGAAGATAAACGGAAGTTGTAACGAACTAAAGGGATTAGATGAGGGATATTTACTTTAGTCTGATCTCCATCGACATATATTTCCCTTTCAGCGTTACTCCAATCACCTACGAAAATATTTGAATATTGAAAATAAATTATTATTTATTAAAAAGACAAAGTAAAATATTATTTAATAGGAGTGATGTTTAAAATGCTCCTAATTTAGAATTGAAAAGTCAAACAATTACCCTCCAAAAATAGGATATATGAAATTTTAAATATCACATAAAAATTTTATGCATACAATATATAAATAAATACAAAGTTATTTACCAGTAGATTCTTTGTATTCAACTATATATCGAGTTATTGGATTATTTCCATTGTATGGTTTATTCCATTTCAAACTAATGCTCCTTCCGTGAATATCGTAAGCTTCTATATCTTTAGGAGGATCTGGTTTATCTGAAAATATACTTAAACATTTCCTTTACATTCTTATTAATAAATGCATTTTATATTCATTTTTATAGTAAAACTCCACACAAAACTAATTTCTTTCATCTTAAATGAATCTTTCAATAAAGTTTATTAAAATTCCAAATTAATTATTTAAATTTCAGCTTTTATTGTTTTAGAAATAATTAATTAATCTTTTAATTTAATTTTGTTATTTTTTCCAATTATTGTTCATTCAAAATTTATGAACTATACAACAATTATTCAGGTCTAAAGCGCCATAGTTCTTAATAAATTATTGAATTCTGCCATGTTAAAAGGATTAGTCCAACTTCTTAACGAGTGTTTCTAGTAGAAAAAAAATGAGGTTTCCATTATATTGAAGTGGACAGTGTAGAATCTAATCATCCAATTATCCGAATTGAGGCAATAAGCAGAGAAGAAAACCGGGCACAATGCCTTTTATTCTGTATAAAAGTTCTCGAATGATAGAAAACTTCTCGGCTTTCACTTCATTTTTACTCATATTTTCATAAGTTGATGCAGAATAAAATATTCAAATATTCATTCATAAAAGATAAAAATGTTTAAAACAAATAGATTTATCCTATTTATTTATTATAAAATTTTATCCGCCATATTTTTTATAACGCACCACTAAAGCAATAGCGTGGATTTTATGACTGACCATCATTGAAGATGGATTTTCTGAAATATTTCTTCGGCTCCCATATGAGCCATAAATCAGCCATTAAGCGTATTAGAAAAACTTCTCGAACAATAAAAATATAATATACTTTTTTACTCGCTCTTTCTTACGTACAATACCTCAAGAGTATCATAAGTATTTATTATCCATATTAGTACCACAATAGAATTAATGATTAATCTTTACGCATAAATTACTTTAGTGTTGAAGATTATTACTCAGATGTGTTGAGTTGTATTTATAGTTAAGAAAAACTTTCTTATCTGATTTGAAATCTATGCTAAGTGCCCGTTATTTACATAGGTTATAAATATTAAAAATATCGGATAAAGAGAAAAAATACTGAAGAATTATGTATAAGAAGTTTAATGTAAACAGAACATAAACTATTAAAGCCTACATATTTGGTGTAGTTAGTCGATGTTGTAAAAGATGCCTTAATTGCAATGTAATGAGTGCCATAGAATGTAATGTACGACCATTTACTGGGTTTATGTAGTACTTTGTTAAGGTCATTTTATTCCGACATAAATTAAATTTCCATTTTAATTAAATAACATGGTTTTATCATCGTATAATTTATTTAAATGCATATATTTGTTCTAAAAATATATACAGTAGAGCGTCGTTTATCCGAATCAATTCAGGACTGGGGTTGTTCGGATAACTTATTTTTCGGATAACCAATTATGTACGAAAAAATATATTAATTTATCCCGTGTTGAAATTTTTCTCCGTTGCGTGTCGCTTCGCGTTGAATTCTCGTCGATGTTAAGCCTAACGAAGACTATTGTATCGTTAAAAATTANAGAATACAAATTATACTATTTATACAAAAATGAACACTGCAACAACTTAACGAACCAGCTTTAAAATTATACACAAAGTGCGAACGATACTATTTATGCTATTATTTTATTAGCTTTTTAATTAATACAAGTCTGACATTATTAACCTCAAAAAAATTCAATTGTTATTGTTGTTCAAGGGTTTTTTCTCCTTTAATCAATGAAGAAAGTCTTTTTTCTTCACTGAACGAAGGAATAAAAAACAAGTCCCAAAAAGATACTGAGCAGATAGGGTAAATGAGAATAAAATTCAATAGATGTTTATTTAATTTTTATTAAAATTGCTTATATAAAAACATTAGTATAAGCTAAGACAAATATATGTAATAAGCTATATGATAATTTCATTTATCAAAGAAATGATTCGATATTATTGATATTTATTGAATCAAAAGTCTATTAACAATATGTCGAATTAATTTGAAACAAAAATAGATTGTGTCCTATAAATTTGTGGCAATAACATTTAACGAAATTATAACAATTAATAGTGATTAATGTCTTTATTAAATATTATGAATTATTTTTATACTGTATTTTTTATTGTTAAATCGTATTTATAAGATAACTGTCAGATTAGTTACATGGTAGCACAGAGTTATTTTGGGTAAATTACGACAGCAATATGGCTTCTAACACTATAAATAATAGTTTTTTTTTTATTTTTATGTACTATTATTTCAAGAAAAATTTATTTTTAAAAAATTGCGATTATAAGAAAAATTTATTGTTCAAATTTGAAAAGAAATTAAATATTAACATCTTTAAATAAAAAAATTAATTAGATAAATGTATTATTAATCCAGTTGTAAACAAACAACATTCTAGAAATAACGATTTTGTTTTTCTTAATTTTTCGTAACATAAAAAATTAATTTTTTTAAATTGTACTCGTACAGTACCGTACATTTATTATGCTTTGGAAAAAAATTAAATAATCTTTGTAACACTTTAAAGGTTTAAACTGATTCTCATAAATGTTAACTAGCGAAATGAATTAAAACAAATTACAAAAAATGGTTTAGATTTCTAATTAAACGATGGAATTTTTGTTAGTCTAATAGACAAAAAATAATGCATTAGTTAGTAAATGGCCTATTTTTACTTTCCCAGGAGCAAGAGAAAAAATTAGAAGAATTGAACTTGTTCTTATTTTTGTTAAGTAATTAAATTTGTTACGTATGTTAAATTTAAACGTCCAGTTTTCCAGTAAGTTAAACATCTTTTACATCGAATATATATTTATATATAACTACAGATAGTATCTACAGTTACATATAAATGATATTAATACAAACTTTATTACTTAACATTTTAAAAACTATTGTCAACAATAAAACACATTTATCTTACAGATAAATGTGTTTTATTGTTGCAGATAACGCAGCAGTTGCAGATAAAAATTCAATAATAAGTCAATTAAAAAATTATGAAAATTACACGATATAAGCCTATATATTTATATTTATCTTTCATTCCGTTGAAAGTGTTGTGAATAGTTTGACGTCAATGACAACTTATTTAATAGTTATTAAAATATAGACTAACATACAGTATAATGTATACAATATTATACGAGTTATAATCGTACTACAACGTTACATTAAATTATATTATCACTATAATTATTACGATTAGCAAGATGTTAGTATAGATCGAAGTCTTATTATATATGGTCTGCGAAATGCGAAGTAAGATTCTACGAACTGAACCAAGCATTGTAAAATAAGAAAAAAATTTAGAAATAATTTTACAAATAATTTCAGACTATATTCTGCGATTTCTTAAAGAACATCTTGAATTTCTATAATGACAAGTGAAAAAACAAATGAAAACGAGCAATTATTTTATTGTGAAATCGTCACAATGCCGGCCTGCAATTTTTAATCATATTTTCAATTTATTTAATTTAATATATGTGATCTCCACCTGAAATTAGTAGAGTCTTGCCTTTGTACACCATACCTTTCCTTCTAGCAATACAATCCTTTCTCCCTTTGAAAGAAAATTTTTGAATTGAAATAACGTGGCTCCCGGTTTGCAGGTTTGCACCGGAAGTCATGATTAACGAAATCGGAATTTGTTTGGACACGTGGTTCTCTAAAGATCCCGTGCGGACTATATATCTGGAAAATAACTATTACAGTATATGGAAATGAATCAGCGTAAATGCCTATTTTGTGCAATAACGTGTTGGTTAATGTTTTTAAGTAATTTAAACATGCACTACATTATCTTCAGAATTATTAACGAGTATATGTAAACAAATCGAAATCTTGTAGCAGCGTGGATTAGTTCATAATGTACGACAACGTCTGTCTACAACGTTTAGATTCCATATAGTTTATGATATTTTGCAAACACAAGATTCGTCCGGAAATACAACATTTCGATAATCCGGCACCTACTGGAGCGCGTCGGATTAACGAATTTATACTGTAAACGGATTTTTTAGTAGGAAAACTTGAGAACGTCGTTCAAAAGTTACAAATTTTATAAAATAAGGCATTCGCTCTTTAAGGCAAACGCAGAATTATGGTTTATGCAAATTCAGTTTGATTCTTAAAGTCAAAAAATGTTACACTAAAGAATACGACAAAAATATGCTTTCCATTCAAAATATTTCTTTAAACAAAATGTTGATTTACTTTAAGTAATTCCTCGTTTGTATGACCATAAAAGAGGAATCACTTTCATATTCAGTATTATTAATTTATTCATATCTACTTTTTCAATTGAATTTCGATTCATTAGTTTTTGTCAGCTAAAACATGCACAAAAATAGTTTAAAATATATATACGTTTATATTTTACTAAAACGCTCTCTCTTCTTTTCTTCTCTTATCTTTTTCTTAGGGCCTGTGGCCCTTGCCCTTTAGTTTTTTCTGATCGGCTAGCGTCTTCTGATTGGTCGAACTTAGTGATGCTTCGAGTAATTAGCTCATGGTTCAGCTGACGCTCTGTCTGTTGATTGGTTTAGCTATGCGATCTCTCGACTGTTTGGCTTGTGATCGACTTCGGGTTGTGAGCAGGGTATAAGAAAGAAAATAGAAAAATGAAAGAAACAAAACAGCAGCAAAACATTAAACCATTTAAATTGATTTTCCCCCACATATGCATTGAGCTTATATATATCAAATCAGAAACACGAAAACGATACTATATCATAAAATTTTTCGCCATNCATTAATGATACAATAGCTGAGAAGAATACAAATTTTTAATTGAGAGGGATACCAGATACTTAAATAGTTAAATTCAGCTTCTAGAATTTCACAGAAACTAAATAAATAATTGAAAATAAATATCTTTACTGAGATGAAAATATATAAAGTATTTAAAATATATTAGGAATAGTAGAAAGATATATTTAGAATCTAAAATCTTGGAGAGATCAGATCTAGAGGAAAGTAGTCATTTATCACAAGTATAACCATTTAAATTGATTTTCCCCCACATATGCATTGAGCTTATATATATCAAATCAGAAACACGAAAACGATACTATATCATAAAATTTTTCGCCATTAAAAAAGTATTTTCTTTACATTATGTAACTCCATAACTTTTAAAAATTGACTTTGTTTTTAAAGAAAATCTTTGCTTTCGACAAACTGCTTTGCTTAATTCGTGCAATTTCTTCAAACATTTTATATTCAAAATAAAATTCCTTTTTAAATAAAAACTTTCGGCTTTATTATGAACTTTTTATTACTCATTGCAATCCTCTCTCTTGATGTTCCTACAATTTTCAACTTTGAAATTTATGAATTTCTTTTAGCAATTGCTGAGGATATTTTTAAAATTGCTTTTAAAAGTTATTTCCAAGAGATTCTGTAATGAATAATTTAAATTTGTAAAATCTTTCTTTATAGTTGTATGATTAAGTTTAATATCGATTCCAATGACAGATAATTCAAAACATATGAAAAAATTTTCAATATTTTATATAAAATATTTTTAAAAGTCATAAACGAAAGTACAGTAAGTATTTCAATACATTAATCATCATACTAAATGAAGAAATGTAAATTAATTTTTCATTTCTGAGAAAACATTTGAGAAGTACTGTATGACATATAAAATCTATAAGGTAAATAAAAAAGATTTAAATTCTATCATTAATCCTAAATGTCAATAGATCTGAACTGATATAAAAGTAATTTTTTATTACAGAAAAGAAAGATTTAATTTAGAAATTTGAGAGATGTACTCAGAAAATAGGACAATTAACTTTAATGAGAGGAAGAAAAATAGTATAATTTTAAATATATTTTAATAAATCCAATACTATACAATTTAATTTACTAAAAAACTTTGACATTTGCGAAGTTTTTAAAACATTTTTTGTTGCTGAAAAATTTTAAATATCTTTTTTAAAAGTTAAATTTTTAAAGTAAGATTTTCTAAAAGAGATATAAATTTTTGTTGTAAAGAATTAGATCAAATAGGAAAGTGTATTTTTATATATCTATATATTTTCAAATTCACATAAATTAATTTAATCATTATCCTATAGTTTCTAAGCTATTCACTGTGATATTTTAATAAATTATTCAGAATTTATTATTATTTTTTAATAAACTATTTTAAATTAAGTTATAATATTTATGAAGTGTATGATGTAAACATAACTTCGTAAACTTGTATGTAAACATGAGATACTTTACGTTCGCTGAATAAATATATTTACTTTAAATAATTTATATTTTATATTCATGTATATCTATATGTATATTATATTCACATATTTAATTTTAATATAATTTAAATCGATTTTTCCATATTTTCAATCTAGGTTATGTCAGTTTAAGTATACAAATCGATAAATTTAAGTATAAAAACAGATTTTCTTCATATTTAAATCGTAATAATGAATTTATAATAATTAACATATAAATTGTGCGTTTCGGTTAAATCTAACGAAAACATTTCGATTTATGTCAATGTAAATAATTTAGAAATATTTAAGACTTTATGTTTAATAGAATTAAGCAGACAAGCAAAGAAAAATAATGATGAATAATTAGTGACAACAAATAAAATATTTAAGGACAATAATTGATTACAAATGTTAAAATTATAAATAATAAATTTAAATTAAGTTGAACATGTATGTATTTGGTGGTTTAAATAAGCTAAAAGTTTAGATATCTTTATTCATTATTTTAAAAATAAACAGAAAAATAATTAATATGAATATAAATATTTCAAGATTATTATAAACTTAACTTATTAAAATTGTATTAATTTAAATATGTATATGTAGCACGCAAAATTCACATAAAATAGATTCCACTCTCAAAATAATTATAGAATAAAATTAGTGAGGTAATTTCATTAAAAATTCCAACAATTCTCAGCATAAAATTTTCCTAAATAAACCTTTTCTATTATAAATAGATGATAATATATATTTAATATATAAATAAGTGGCTATTCATATCTTGAAATTCAGACATTTTCTTGTTTTTAATGCGAAATATTCAAATTAAAAACAGATCATTTTTAATTTACATTATTTTATATTTTACTTTAATTAAGTTAAATATTTAAAATTGAAATGTATAAAAAATATTTAAACTATTTATAATTAATAGGAAATTGCTGAAAACAAAATACTGAAATAACGAAAAAGATATTTTTATCACGAAATCAAATTTATTCTTATTTGCAATCATTAAACTTCATTAATGATACAATAGCTGAGAAGAATACAAATTTTTAATTGAGAGGGATACCAGATACTTAAATAGTTAAATTCAGCTTCTAGAATTTCACAGAAACTAAATAAATAATTGAAAATAAATATCTTTACTGAGATGAAAATATATAAAGTATTTAAAATATATTAGGAATAATAGAAAGATATATTTAGAATCTAAAATCTTGGCGAGATCAGATCTAGAGGAAAGTAGTCATTTATCACAAGTATATAAATGTTATCCATTGTAAATCTAAGCGATAAATATACAATATCATTATTTATGATTTTGTTTATCCGGATTTTAGTTTTCATTTTGACTTCAAAGGATGGACTGAAAAAATTGAGTAAAAATTCCAACAGGGAGAAAAAAAGGAGAAAAAAATTCATTCAAAATACTATTGAAGGAGTTCGAGCGTTCAAAACTAAATTGCTTTCTAAATTCTTCAAGTGCAATATTCACTTTTTGGATTCATACTCTTCAACGAATTTATTTTAAAAATGTTATATTTAGTTAGAAGTCAACGCGAAATTTTTTTGTATGTAATGATAGAACCTTCTAAAAATCTTATTTTCACAGTTAAAAAATGTATTTCCTAATATAAACTGATAAACACTATATATAGCGAAGAAAGTATTGAAATTCCGTAAAAGAGTAATTATTATCTTAAAATTTCTTCTTCCATAAAATGATGTGGTAAATTTACCGCTCTTTCTGAAGATTTCAATAACCACATAATGCATGCTTGTCCATATGCTATCGAAGCACGAAGAATAAATTTAAAATATTTATTTTAAACCATATCAATAATATATTCGTAAAATTTATTAATTAAATTATTATAATGTAAATTTTTACATGTAGTCTATATAATGTAGAAATTTCAAAATTTATAAAAGTTATACAGAGAAAGTAATGTAGGAATGATCAATATATAAATACAAGATCGCTAACAGTCTATTCAGATAATTTATCATTATTATGTGTTTTCAAAAGAGAGTACCTTTCTTTTAAAGTCTTGTTGAGATGGACCGCTAGCAAAGATTCTTCTATGTGGCTTATAGAATTGAGTTCGTTCTCTAGATCGATTTTGATTAAACTTTGTCGTTTTATATAATATGAGACGGAGAAATTAAAAATGTAATAAAAAACGGAGTAAGTGATTCCGTTTTCGAGATACAGTGAGGTCAAAATGACAATGTTCAAAGTCACTAGCACAAGCGTGCTCAATTTTTTATATTTTTTAAAATTCTTTTACACATCAGCGGCGACGTCGTTATCGCAGGTGGAGAGTGATCGTCGTAGATGTCTCCCAAAACAATTTCTAGCCCTTCAACTCAATTCTTGTTCAGAAAGAAAACAATCTGTGCCTAGTTAATTTCTAGGGCTTTTTATATGTTAAATGCTGATCCAAGTCTCTTCTTATCCCGATTTTTAACAGTCAAATAATTTCACACAAAAGACAATAACAAACTTTACTTGTCAGTAAACCATCCTTTTATTTTCATTTATATATATGCTTTATGGATACCAATATTGCGGTATCCTTCTTCAGTATAGATGGAAAGTTTATATCTAAAAATAATCTACACTTTAATTAAATTATTTAAAGAACCCTGGAACTATGCATAGTTAAGTTATTCTATATTCAATAAGTGATAGTTTCATAAAAGGAAATTAAGGATCAGCTACGTTATAACATGTGCTCAAGAAGAACGAAAATGTTATTTTTAAATTTTTATAAATTTAATAATAAGTAATTAAATCTTATATTAATTAAATAAAAATGCTATAAATTTGTATTGTACCTTATAGTTATTTTAAGAGTATACTTTTAAACCTACCTGATCCCTCAGTTCTTCCAGAAACAATATCACTAGGCTCTCCTTTTCCGACATTATTATAAGAAGTAATGAAAAATTGATAATTCGTTCCACACTTTAGACCAGTCAACAAATGACTAATCTGATCTCTACTCAGTTGAAGTTCTGTCCATTCATCACCGTCTTTCCTCCAGTTAATAATAAATCCTAAACAAATGTTTGAAATTTAAGAATAGAAATATTAATAACTTATATATTTATATATATATTTGTATATAAATTATACTACCAGATACTGGATTTTCATTGTCAAATATCGATTCCCATGTTAAAAGTATAGTGGAAGAAGTGACAGAATCTACTTTTAATGAAGGGGTTTGCGGAGGATCTAAATTATAAGTTAAAATTATAAGAAAGATAACCAATCATATAATGAAATTAATTTATATATTTATAAATTACCAAATTCTAGTGTTTGGACTATAACCTCATCGGAATGTGGTCCAGCTCCTCTATCGTTAAAAGCCTGGACTACAATCCTATATTTTGTAGCTCTTTTTAAGTTTCTAATCTCGCAACTCTTCTCGTATGATTCAACCTCTTCTACAGTTTTATATGTAAATGGAGTATCATCAGGAGCATTATATGCTTTATAACCGACATGATAGCCTTTAAGTAGACCATAATGAAGAATTGACACTGGAGCCTGAAAGATTTTTAAATATTTAAATGTATATTTTTGATATATATTACGATTCATTCACTTAAGCGTACCTGCCAAGTAACGTGCAACCTACTCGACCCTATAGGAGTTGCGTGTACTTTAACGGGTGATCCTCCAGGTGCTGTAAAGATGTAATTCGTCTTAAGAGGTTTGATTTAAGTGCTTCCATCTAGCGAGCAAAAGATAATTAACAATCACTAATAAATCTGAATTATTATCTGACCTTCTCCATCGGTAATAACTGTTAAAATTTCGCTAAATTGACTTCTTCCTAATCTATTTTCGGAAGATAAACGGAAGTTGTAACGAACTAAAGGGATTAGATGAGGGATATTTACTTTAGTCTGATCTCCATCGACATATATTTCCCTTTCAGCGTTACTCCAATCACCTACGAAAATATTTGAATATTGAAAATAAATTATTATTTATTAAAAAGACAAAGTAAAATATTATTTAATAGGAGTGATGTTTAAAATGCTCCTAATTTAGAATTGAAAAGTCAAACAATTACCCTCCAAAAATAGGATATATGAAATTTTAAATATCACATAAAAATTTTATGCATACAATATATAAATAAATACAAAGTTATTTACCAGTAGATTCTTTGTATTCAACTATATATCGAGTTATTGGATTATTTCCATTGTATGGTTTATTCCATTTCAAACTAATGCTCCTTCCGTGAATATCGTAAGCTTCTATATCTTTAGGAGGATCTGGTTTATCTGAAAATATACTTAAACATTTCCTTTACATTCTTATTAATAAATGCATTTTATATTCATTTTTATAGTAAAACTCCACACAAAACTAATTTCTTTCATCTTAAATGAATCTTTCAATAAAGTTTATTAAAATTCCAAATTAATTATTTAAATTTCAGCTTTTATTGTTTTAGAAATAATTAAATAACCTTTTAATTTAATTTTGTTATTTTTTCCAATTATTGTTCATTCAAAATTTATGAACTATACAACAATTATTCAGGTCTAAAGCGCCATAGTTCTTAATAAATTATTGAATTCTGCCATGTTAAAAGGATTAGTCCAACTTCTTAACGAGTGTTTCTAGTAGAAAAAAAATGAGGTTTCCATTATATTGAAGTGGACAGTGTAGAATCTAATCATCCAATTATCCGAATTGAGGCAATAAGCAGAGAAGAAAACCGGGCACAATGCCTTTTATTCTGTATAAAAGTTCTCGAATGATAGAAAACTTCTCGGCTTTCACTTCATTTTTACTCATATTTTCATAAGTTGATGCAGAATAAAATATTCAAATATTCATTCATAAAAGATAAAAATGTTTAAAACAAATAGATTTATCCTATTTATTTATTATAAAATTTTATCCGCCATATTTTTATAACGCACAACTAAAGCAATAGCGTGGATTTTATGACTGACCATCATTGAAGATGGATTTTCTGAAATATTTCTTCGGCTCCCATATGAGCCATAAATCAGCCATTAAGCGTATTAGAAAAACTTCTCGAACAATAAAAATATAATATACTTTTTTACTCGCTCTTTCTTACGTACAATACCTCAAGAGTATCATAAGTATTTATTATCCATATTAGTACCACAATAGAATTAATGATTAATCTTTACGCATAAATTACTTTAGTGTTGAAGATTATTACTCAGATGTGTTGAGGTGTATTTATAGTTACGAAAAACTTTCTTATCTGATTTGAAATCTATGCTAAGTGCCCGTTATTTACATAGGTTATAAATATTAAAAATATCGGATAAAGAGAAAAAATACTGAAGAATTATGTATAAGAAGTTTAATGTAAACAGAACATAAACTATTAAAGCCTACATATTTGGTGTAGTTAGTCGATGTTGTAAAAGATGCCTTAATTGCAATGTAATGAGTGCCATAGAATGTAATGTACGACCATTTACTGGGTTTATGTAGTACTTTGTTAAGGTCATTTTATTCCGACATAAATTAAATTTCCATTTTAATTAAATAACATGGTTTTATCATCGTATAATTTATTTAAATGCATATATTTGTTCTAAAAATATATATTATATATTTATAATAAAGTTATAAAGTTTAATGCATTATTTCTTAATTAAGATTTAGCTATTATAAATTGAATTTATAATAATCTAGTTAAGTTTTCATGATAATTAAAATCTATCTCTAATCAGAAATGCATCAAATGTAATCGATATAGTTGATTAGTAAAAGGAATTATCCTATATTTAAATGAGATTTAATGGTTTTTTAAGTATCCCGTAATTAAATTTAAAGTTTCTTAATAGTATAATTTGTTTTAATTCGATTTGATTTTCAAGAGATTTTACAGTACATGAATATTTGAGATTTTAATTATTTTGAATGATCTGAAAATTTTATTTTGTGCCTTTTTATTATGAAAATGAATGAGTTCTAATGAAATAAATATAACAACACTTTATTATTATTTGAATATGATTTAACGTTAATTGTTAGAAGATTATTCTCAAATTTACGAAATTGTAACGTAACGCTATAGCCCAAGTTTCTACTTGTGTGGAGCTAGAGATGAAAAATAAAATCAATTAAATTTTACAAATATATAAGCGAAATCTTTGTGAAAATAAAATTATACAACTCATATTTCATTTTAAAAGTTTAAAGAAATTAATTATAAATCCAAATTTTTAATTTAGTACAAAATTAGAATAATTAAGGAAAGTTAAAGAATGTAGTAGCTCTATCGAATTTCTCTGGTTTTTTTCTTTAACTTTTGTTATTTAACTTAATCCTTTTTATTTATTTTCATGATAATTAACGAGGATTAAATTTTAATGAGAAAATTCTTTCTTATAAGACGACACAAAAAAATTAACATATTTGCTAGTTGTGACGTTAATATTTTAAAACAATTTTTTAATTATAAAATCTTATTTTATTGTTATCAGTTACTCATTATATGTAAATCTTTTGATAAATTCGTGCCATTAAGCATAAATGAGTAGAGTTTAAGCACGAATGATTGAAAATGCGATCTCGTTAAGAATCGATTGATTGTAATTACGAGAAAAGTTAAACATTTGACGTTTATTTCAACAATTAATCTTTTATATATGACGGTTTTTATGACATTTTATATAGTAAAAAAGGCGTAGAAAAATTCTACAGCTTTCCTAAATTGATATTTTGTGAAGAAAGTGAGTTAGAACATCAAATGACCGAGCCAAAGTTGGCAATTTCGACTTAGTGTAAGGATTGTTAGTTTCTTCCTAAAACAGCTACTAGCAATTACCGGAAAGGCTAATGGTCTATAAAACCTTACCTAAGACGGTCAATTGGATGCTTGTCTCGTCTTGTCCATAAGGATTTGATGCCATACAAGTGTACAGAGCTGTATCCTGTCTCCTTGTCGAGATGAACCGAAGTTCCGATATTTGGCTCTCTTTAAGTAGTTGCTCTTGTAAGACAATACTAAAATAGATACAGAAATAATTTTTATATAAAATTAGGACAGTTATTCTTTGAGAAAAATATCCTATTAGTCTGTAAAAATTTGCGATTTTTCTACTAAAATTAACCTACACTTTAAAACATGTTATTAGCATAGTTGAATAGACGATATCGGACAAGATGATTGAAAGTGTAATCTTACTTAGAATCGATTGATAGTAATTACGAGATTCTTTACCTAGTTGCTACCATTTTAGTAAAGTAATTCATTAAGTATTAAAGATCTGATTTATTTTAACCTTCGTGTAGGTCAAACGTCCTACAAACCTATTTAAGATGTAAATTTAGAAAATTTACAACATGTAAACTTTATATTTATAAGAGAATTTATATAGCAATAAAATTTCTTATGTTACACTATATCCATATTTTTAAATAAAAAGCTTTGCAAATATACATAAACTACGTTTATCTTTCAAAACAAGACCTTTTTATACTGCTTTTTTCAAGATTAACAATGATTCAAGAGGAATTTGAATGTGAAGAGATTTTTCCATTCGTTACCTCACAGCAGTCACCATCTAAAAAAAAAATATATTTTTCTACTGAGATTTTTGAGGGTTAGAGTGTTAAAAACAAAAAAAGACGAGAAGAAAACAGCAAATTTTCGATAAAAATTTAATTATAGAAAGAAACTTCAATACTCAAAACGATCTTGCTTAATGTATTCATCTATAGTTAATCATTATTAAAAAAAAGTTTCCTAATGCTTCAGTTTTTTCACTAGCCTTAAAAATATGTGCTTATTTTTTATAATTCTAAAATCTATTAAAAAAAATCTAAATTTTTATAATATTAAAATCATTTATAAACACTTCGACATAAACAAACACACAGGCTACATACACACATATACAATGCAGAAGAAAATTCAAATCTTAGGAAAGAGTATCTTACTTTTCTGGAATATTATCAATAATTTTTTAATCTATAAAAATTTTATATGCATTTTTTTAATGGGAAAAAGTTTGCTTCATTCAAAAAGCGTAGATTCTGTTTTAAAAAGTGAATATGAAACGTGTTATAAATTATTTATTTTATTTTAAATGCGTTATCGTCTTTTCTATTCCCCCCAAGAGAATTTATTTCAGAAAAAAGAAAAATAAAGTTTCTAGATATTTAGTGGCAAATTATTTTTGCTATAAGGTAGAATGAATAAAAGGGCAACTAACCAAGCCCTGAAGAAAGAAAAATCAATCTTGATTATAAAAACATGAATGATATTCAAGATTTTTCTACAGGACTAATCTTTCTCTTGCAATGGCTTTTGAACAAAATGGTAATTAAACTAATTCTTCCTGGAAAAATCTAATTATCATTGCACATTTGCAAAAATTTTTCAACTTTGTTNTAAACGTTTCAGAAAATTGATCAAATTGAAAATAGTTCGTTTGATTTTCGGCAATTCTCTTCAGCGGTAGGTGTTATATAACAATTACTATGGTTATTGAAATATTGGATGTAAATGGGGTTTGCTTGCAAAACCTCCGCTGACGAAGTCGCGGGTAACAGCTAGTCTATAATAAAGTTATAAAGTTTAATGCATTATTCGTTAATTAAGATTTGGCTATTATAAATTTAATTTGTAATAATCTAGTTAAGTTTTCATGATAATTAAAATCTATCTTTAATCAGAAATGCATCAAATGTAATCGATATAGTTGATTAGTAAAAGGAATTATCCTATATTTAAATGAGATTTAATGGTTTTTTAAGTATCCCGTAATTAAATTTAAAGTTTCTTAATAGTATAATTTGTTTTAATTCGATTTGATTTTCAAGAGATTTTACAGTACATGAATATTTGAGATTTTAATTATTTTGAATGATCTGAAAATTTTATTTTGTGCCTTTTTATTATGAAAATGAATGAGTTCTAATGAAATAAATATAACAACACTTTATTATTATTTGAATATGATTTAACGTTAATTGTTAGAAGATTATTCTCAAATTTACGAAATTGTAACGTAACGCTATAGCCCAAGTTTCTACTTGTGTGGAGCTAGAGATGAAAAATAAAATCAATTAAATTTTACAAATATATAAGCGAAATCTTTGTGAAAATAAAATTATACAACTCATATTTCATTTTAAAAGTTTAAAGAAATTAATTATAAATCCTAATGTTTACTTTAGTACAAAGTTAGAATAATTAAGGAAAGTTAAAGAATGTAGTAGCTCTATCGAATTTCTCTGGTTTTTTTCTTTAACTTTTGTTATTTAACTTAATCCTTTTTATTTATTTTCATGATAATTAACGAGGATTAAATTTTAATGAGAAAATTCTTTCTTATAAGACGACACAAAAAAATTAACATATTTGCTAGTTGTGACGTTAATATTTTAAAACAATTTTTTAATTATAAAATCTTATTTTATTGTTATCAGTTACTCATTATATGTAAATCTTTTGATAAATTCGTGCCATTAAGCATAAATGAGTAGAGTTTAAGCACGAATGATTGAAAATGCGATCTCGTTAAGAATCGATTGATTGTAATTACGAGAAAAGTTAAACATTTGACGTTTATTTCAACAATTAATCTTTTATATATGACGGTTTTTACGACATTTTATATAGTAAAAAAGGCGTAGAAAAATTCTACAGCTTTCCTAAATTGATATTTTGTGAAGAAAGTGAGTTAGAACATCAAATGACCGAGCCAAAGTTGGCAATTTCGACTTAGTGTAAGGATTGTTAGTTTCTTCCTAAAACAGCTACTAGCAATTACCGGAAAGGCTAATGGTCTATAAAACCTTACCTAAGACGGTCAATTGGATGCTTGTCTCGTCTTGTCCATAAGGATTTGATGCCATACAAGTGTACAGAGCTGTATCCTGTCTCCTTGTCGAGATGAACCGAAGTTCCGATATTTGGCTCTCTTTAAGTAGTTGCTCTTGTAAGACAATACTAAAATAGATACAGAAATAATTTTTATATAAAATTAGGACAGTTATTCTTTGAGAAAAATATCCTATTAGTCTGTAAAAATTTGCGATTTTTCTACTAAAATTAACCTACACTTTAAAACATGTTATTAGCATAGTTGAATAGACGATATCGGACAAGATGATTGAAAGTGTAATCTTACTTAGAATCGATTGATAGTAATTACGAGATTCTTTACCTAGTTGCTACCATTTTAGTAAAGTAATTCATTAAGTATTAAAGATCTGATTTATTTTAACCTTCGTGTAGGTCAAACGTCCTACAAACCTATTTAAGATGTAAATTTAGAAAATTTACAACATGTAAACTTTATATTTATAAGAGAATTTATATAGCAATAAAATTTCTTATGTTACACTATATCCATATTTTTAAATAAAAAGCTTTGCAAATATACATAAACTACGTTTATCTTTCAAAACAAGACCTTTTTATACTGCTTTTTTCAAGATTAACAATGATTCAAGAGGAATTTGAATGTGAAGAGATTTTTCCATTCGTTACCTCACAGCAGTCACCATCTAAAAAAAAAATATATTTTTCTACTGAGATTTTTGAGGGTTAGAGTGTTAAAAACAAAAAAAGACGAGAAGAAAACAGCAAATTTTCGATAAAAATTTAATTATAGAAAGAAACTTCAATACTCAAAACGATCTTGCTTAATGTATTCATCTATAGTTAATCATTATTAAAAAAAAGTTTCCTAATGCTTCAGTTTTTTCACTAGCCTTAAAAATATGTGCTTATTTTTTATAATTCTAAAATCTATTAAAAAAAATCTAAATTTTTATAATATTAAAATCATTTATAAACACTTCGACATAAACAAACACACAGGCTACATACACACATATACAATGCAGAAGAAAATTCAAATCTTAGGAAAGAGTATCTTACTTTTCTGGAATATTATCAATAATTTTTTAATCTATAAAAATTTTATATGCATTTTTTTAATGGGAAAAAGTTTGCTTCATTCAAAAAGCGTAGATTCTGTTTTAAAAAGTGAATATGAAACGTGTTATAAATTATTTATTTTATTTTAAATGCGTTATCGTCTTTTCTATTCCCCCCAAGAGAATTTATTTCAGAAAAAAGAAAAATAAAGTTTCTAGATATTTAGTGGCAAATTATTTTTGCTATAAGGTAGAATGAATAAAAGGGCAACTAACCAAGCCCTGAAGAAAGAAAAATCAATCTTGATTATAAAAACATGAATGATATTCAAGATTTTTCTACAGGACTAATCTTTCTCTTGCAATGGCTTTTGAACAAAATGGTAATTAAACTAATTCTTCCTGGAAAAATCTAATTATCATTGCACATTTGCAAAAATTTTTCAACTTTGTTTCTCTTTTGTATATAAATCATCATACTGATCCGAAATTTAAAATAATAATAAAAAAGAAATTACAGAAAGTTAAATAATCTTTAACGTAATTTTAAATATATTAATTAAAAATAACGGTATTTTGTAATAAATTTTAAAAATTCTTCTAATTACGTAATTTTTTCGGGATTTGTTTATTTTTATTAATTAAAGTGAGGTAGAAGCATTACGTATTTTCTTATAGATTTTTTCAAAAGTTAATAAAGTTATTAATAGGCTCGTATTAATTAACTGCATTCTGTAATTTTTTACTTTTCCGCTTTAATTGCTATTTCTTTTTTTAACTTATTTATTATAATTATTATTACTTGTTTTTAATCTTTTCTCATATTTTTATATGCAAAATAAACTGTATTAATAAATAACAATAATTTGAAATTTATTTACTTTTATTAAATTTTTCTAATTATTTTTGTTTGTATATTCGAACAATTAACTACATAAATTATAAAGTATTTTTATTCAATTTCTTAGAACTAATTTCTTTTCTTAACTATTGGTTAAACAGCAATTGCAATTTTAATTTCAAATTAATTAAATCAGTTGATTTAAATGTTTAAATAAAAATAATAGAAAAACATTTAAGTTAAGTGAATTTAATCTTGATATAAATTTAAAATTTTTTTGTTTATTTTGTTGAATTTTTTTCAATGAATGATAATTTATAAAGTAAACAGCATTTGATTGATGTAGTTTCTTCTGTTAAGCCGCTCAACATATATAAAAAAAGGGTACATGTGCTAGATGTAAGTAGCTTCCAGACGAAAACACTTAACTTATATAAAAAGTAAAGCACTGTTGACAAGAAATTGTTGGAAAAAAGTATTTAAAAAAGCTAAACCTACGGATAGTTTGACCTTCAACAAAACTTAGGTCAACGGTAACCTGGAATGTAATATTAATAGATAATTTCATTTAAAAAATATAATTAAATTTCAAGATTTTCTGCTTTATTTATTTTTATTAAATATAAAATATTTTATTAAATTATTGTTACAGCGCTAGCTAATCAACAGCACAAAGAAGATAAAAATTAATTTTGGAAAAAGAACTAAATCAGATATCAGAAGTAAATTATCGGCTTTTGTTTACGAAATACATTAGAATTTTTATCTATAGATAATATTTTAAACGTATTCATACCTAGGAGTCGATGAATCGATTAGTTGTCTATCTTTCATCCATACAAACGACACGGGTCTTTCACCAAATGCTTCACATTTTAATTCTGTAGATTGTCCTTTCTGTATTACGGATGCTTGAAATTTCTGCTTGAAATAAGCGGGAACTGAAAATATAATTTGTTTATTCCTTTATACATGCATAAATATCTGCATTTTTTTTCTTTTTAAAGGAAAAAGAAAATTCGATGCACATTTAAAAGTTAATCTAATATTGGATAATCTGGCTCATTTCCACATAATTCATTGGTAGTAAGTTCGATCGTCTCGTCGACTGTAGATAGACTTAGGAAACATATTAGGAAATAAGAAAAATGATTAATCAATAAAATTAATGATTAATGATCTCTTTGAACAGTAAAGTTCTAACAGAATCTCTTTCGTAAATGGCTCCCAGGCATAAATTTAACATCAAGAGAAGTACAGTTACTGCATCTGACGGAGAAATTAGTCGATAGTTTTAAAAAGAAAAAAAAATGTTTTACCGATAACCGATGAACAGCAAACTAACTAATAGTTATAAAATTCTATTTATTGACATTTTAAATCCCTTATAAATACTCTTAACGGTACTTAAAAATAGTGGATTACTTAAAAATTTATAATATATTTAAATAAATATTTTAAATATATATATAATAGGAATTTACCATTAACAGTAAGTTTTACGACTGTACTGAGTGCAGATCCTACACCGTTACTCGCTTCACACATGTATCTTCCATCATCTTCTTGTTCAATTTCTCGAAAATATAGTGATCCATTGACCAATGATTGAACTCTTGAACCACTGATTACAGTCCGGTACTCGATTGATGACGATTCTTTTGAAAAATAAAGTAAGTCCAACATGGTTATTTTCAACTTCGATCTTTTTGTAATGTGTAACATTTACACTATATCGTATGTTTAATTCTCCAACCCATTATCATTTCTTTATAAAAAATGAATAAAGACATGTATCAGAAAAGGGTATCTGTTTAAGAAATGTATCATTATATCTTTTAAAATAAAGATAATTAAAATTAAATTATTAAATTTAATAAATGCAAATCAATTATTATCTAAACATCTCATTAAATTTTACCACACCCTATAAAGCTTGTTTATCGTACAGATGCCAAAGAGATAAGTTAATGATTGCAAAACTATATATCAAAGTTTCTCTATCATATAGAGATAAAAGCATAACTAATGCCTCATGTTTTATTCCTGAATATCGTTCAGCTTAATTTCTGTTTATTTTTTCCCAAAACTTCTGCTGATATGTTTCTGCAGTTGTTGACGGGCTATGACGGATGCCCTCTTTATCTATGTCCCCTAGGGCTTAGCTTTCTTTCTTATCCTCTTCCTTATTCACATCAATGACCTACTTACATGAACTTCATCCTTAACTTCACTTATGTCACTCTTTCTTGCTTCTCCAAGTCTGATTTTTCTCCAAAAATCCTTGATGCCTATTTACTCTCTCAAAATCAATAGAAAGTATCACTTGAAAGGTAAATCGTTTTCGAAATGTATACAAGTTCGATTTCAACAGAAAAATCTGTTTGAGTTTTTTAAATATTTTTTGTTTTATAATACTCTTAAATAATCCACTACTGAAAGACGTTTGTAACTATTAAATAGATTCGTTTTATTTCGCTGTATTAAACTGAATTAGACTTAATATAAACAAATTAGACTACTTTAAACTGTATTAATTAATGCATTATTCGATCGAAATAATATATAAAGCATCTATAATTATAATAAATTCGATGCAGGAATTTACACGCGATGTTTTCTAAATGAATAATCCTTCGTTCTGCTATATATGAATTACTGTCGAAAATGATAGATTTTCATCATCTATAATAACTTTTATCAAAGAATCAGTTTGATATAACTTATCATAAAATGAGCCTTAACGTAATTTATAGAAGGACTATGATTGAACACAATATTAAATGATAACATGACGAATTTTAGAATCTTCGAAAGCTGCTTAAGCGAACTATCTGACTTAACATGATGTTAGATTTCACTACAGATAAGAATTTACATCCGGATTATATAATACCCAATTATAAAATCTGTAAAAATTGATCGTTTTCTATTATCTGCATTAAATGAGTAGCAAAGTGTGGGAAAAAATGCTAAATATACGCCTATATTATATTTTTATATATTTTTTACTTATTAATTATAGATTTATACAAATTATTTTTCTAGAAAATCGATAGAATTCAAATTTATCATGAAAAATTATTTAAAATTTATCATATTTAGAAAACAATTTAATGTTTATTTTTATAGAAATTTAATTGTAAAAATTAAATTTTGCATTTATAACCGGTAAATTTTATAGAATTCTTTTTATAAATAAAATCTAACAGTTTTGTTAAGAAAGTTTCAGAAGAGAAATTTGAGGAACTTTCAAACCGGCTGGAAAAATAGCCTAAAAATAAAAAAATAGAAAAGCCAAAATATGATTAAACTACGCCAATAAAAAAAGTGCAGGGACTGGAAACGAATTCATCTTTCAGTTAAATAGCACATTGATTGATAGGAAAGTCACGAATATAAAAATAATTCTTTCCACTTAGGTTACTGATGGAAAACCAAGGGGACCAGGAAACAATTTTTACTCTGCCATTGCTTACGTAGAAAAAATATTTAGTTTTTTTTCTTCCTTTGATCTTTCAGATTGCATTCTTATATAAGTTGTAAAGTTCAATCATATTTTGAATCATCCTATCAATGGATTGAAGCAAAATAGATTCTATCATCTTCATAAGATTTGTAACATATTATTCAACTCTATGCTGTAGAATGAATAAATAGTTAAAAATTTATATTTTATAAAAACAAAAATTAATATACTACATTTTTAAAAGAAATTTATTTACTTTAAAATTAAAAATTAAATCACACGATAATTTCGTGTTTTTTTTCATTAATAACAGGAAAAAATAAATAGCCTAAATTAGAGAATATCTGTTTATTATTATTATTATTATTGTTTTGTTCAGATAAAAATTCAAACATAATCACAGCTTATTTTACATATAATTTAGCCTTAGGCTAAACCTGCTAACAATCATAACAGTTAAATATAAAAATTAATTATTGTATGTAATACAATATTTTATTAGATTAATACTTTTTAAATAAAATAATGTATATACTGTACAGTACATTGTAATAATGAAAAATTATGAATACTTCTCAATTTAAAAAAATAGATCTGATATTAAAAAACAGAAAAAGAGAAATTATATTTAAATACCCTTAGGAATTTTCAACATACTTTTTACTTATTTAAATTTCATTAAAAATTTACATGATAAAGTGCAATAATCAAAGCAAAGACAAATTACTTTTAATCCTAGTAATTCCCCAAAGTTCCCAATTCACATTATATTTAAATTTTTTTAATTGCAATGAAAAATTCTTAAGATAAACAAGAAAAAATAATTTACATTAGAATTCCTAAATCTTAATTAAGAAAATAATCTTAATTATAAAGTAATTAATATATTTCATTGAAAACAAATTTATAATTTTTCTTGAATGTTTTCTTATATATTTTAAATCAAAAAATCAATTCTAATAATAATAATAAACAACATGCTATTCTTTTTCTTTAAAATTTAAGAGTGAGTTAAGTTCATTTTCAGGCATACTTTTAATTCAATGTACACAAGCACACTTCTATAATTACTCATGTTTTTTTAAGATGTGAATTTGGTTTCATAATTTAACTTTTCTGTAAACTAAAACTTAATTAAGATATAAAAAAATATTTAATAAAGACTTTTATAAACTAATTTTAGTTAGGAGTAGAAGAGGATGAGTGTTATCTCCCTTTTAAAGATATGCATATCCTATAATTAATCACCATTAGCTGCAGTATGATCTTTACGTATCGCCTTTCGTTAGTATAACTCATTTCCATAAAATTATTTAATTAATCAGTTAAATATTTTAGAATAGACGCAATGTTTTAATAATATATCTTCTCGTACTTCAAATTAATCAAGATGTATCATGTCTTCTCATACATTTCTAGGTTCATTAAATAGACTTATTAACTGAAGTATATTATATAATAATAAAATACTAGAGAAATATTATTAGTGAGTATTAAATTTAGCAATAATATTACATAAAAAAATAGATAAATAATTAAATAATTAAAATTAAATATATAAAATTGCACAAAATTAATGACCCNTGCACATGATATTATGACAAAATAAAACTTTAATTTCAAATTAAAAATGAATACTAAAAATATTTATATAATTTATTTTTGTATTAAGACATTTTAATGGTTTATAAATTTATAAAATGTATTTATTTTCAGTAAATATAATTTATAAAAAGTATAAAAAATAAAAAAATTAAGTATATTTTTAATAACACAGTTACGTATAAGGCCCTAAGTAAACAAAGAGCGTAAATGTATTTTTTTCTATTAATAAAATATTCTTTAAAATATCCATTTAATCGATATTTTAAAGAATATTATGAATAGTTTTATCTATAGTCTAATATTAAATTTAGCAAAAATAATTATTTACTTTTTAAAAAATTCTGTCATTCTTATAGACTTAATATCATTAATGTATTATAAAATATTATTTACTTTTTTTTTATGTAAACGAAGTTAAGTGCTTGAAAAGATGTCCTTATTTTAAAGTAAACTCAGCTAAAAGTCTTCAAAGATTACTTTTATTCTTATGTAGACTCTGTTAAGTATTTTAGAAAAGATCTTTAAATACGTTAATGATACAATTTCGTTTAATGTTAAAACTGAATAGAAAGATTTTTTTCAAATTTCTTTATTAAGAATTTTCTGAATGTATTGTATGTTGTAAATAGGTAGGAATAATTAACATTTAATTTAGTAGCATCTTCAGTTTTTAGGGAATAGATAATACTACATTATTTAATAAGTTTAATATTTGTACTACATGTAAACTAATTACCACAGAAACTGTTTTTTTATATAAATTCTATTAATTATATTGAAAATATCTTCACTTTTATACAATATAATTAAATTTTTTTAAAGCTGTTTAACTGAATTATAACACGAGTTATTTTAATTATTCAGAAAATTATAAATAATTACATCATTATAAAAACAAAATACTTCATATTTATTTCTTTTTCCATTAAAGATATTTATCTATAATACTTATATTTTTAATTTTCATTGCAATTTATAATTTAAGCTGTAATTATCTAAATACGTCTACTTATTAACATATCCAATTTTATATAAAAAAACAGCGTAAACGATAATCGTTTATTTAAAATCCTTATAAAACATTAAACTATTATTTACTTTTAACGTAAACTGCTTTAAGTATTTCAGAAAATAGCTTTACTTTTACGTAAACCTACTTAAGTCTTCAAAAAAATACTTTTAAGCATTTATAAAAGTAGAGAGATACTTTAATGATGCGGTTTCATACTAAGCCAAAAGTAAACAAAATATTTTTTATCTTTCGATTTTTCTTTTTCTTCATCCAAAGAAAGAGAACTTTTTTCTTTTATAGCGTAAATTTTGATCTAATATTACACTTGAATATATCAAAAGGACATAATTATCTGTAATAAAAAAAATATAAAATGATATTGACAATTATTATCGTGAAACAACGATGGGTGTTAGTTTTGTATTAATTAATATAAAAGTAGTTATTTTAATTTAAAAAATAATAATTATAAACTGTATCTAATATGACATTCTTCCTGTTTTACGTAAGCACCCTCCACTCGTCGTGTCATTATTAAATCCGATGATACTTACAAATGCTGTACACCCCTGGAGGGATGAGCGTACCACAAAATACACTTTTGATGGGTACAAGAATCATATGAGATATTTTTTGTTTGATTTAACGTTTTAAAATCTTCTTAATTGTGAAATAAGTCTTTATTTTTAATAAAATACTAATAAAATGTGTTAATATTTAAATGTATAATGATGTACTGTACTTTTCTGATGTAAATTCCTAACCTAGAGCTAAATGTTTTTATATTAATGAATGTGCACAGATGATTTTCTTTTCTTTCTTAATTGCTTAGTTGTAGTTAAATGTAGACTAAAATACACCTGTGGATAGAACAACCATACCCCTTAAATAAAAGAATTTAACGAATTTTTTATGAGGATGAGAGAACGAATTTTAAAAATTCAAGGGATGCGAATAGCGAAAAAGGTTAAAATCCATTATTTTAATCGAAATCAATCTACAGTTTTCGACTTTAAATTTATTCTAAAACTCAATAAACATTTATTTTTTTAGAACTATTGAAGTTTTAGACAAAACCTGTCTTTCAATATTGTCATTTCTCTATTATATGGATATATTTTAAGTCTGAATATTTGTAAATTCTAATGTTCGATCATTCCAAAGATATTCCTGATAAAACCCATTTATAACAAAGTTTCCACATCATAACTGTCTTTATAAATTAATTTTCTTATAAATAGTAACTACATTGATTTACAGATATTATAAGCAAAAATTAACAAATATATTAAGAACAAATAATTCCAATTCGTGAGAAATTAAGGTCAGAATTTTACAAAATATATAGAATTTCAGTTTAACGTGACATTTAATTTTTATGAAATTTTCAGTGAATTTTTCATATTTCTCATGTTAATTCAAGGAGAAAGTATGAAACGATTATATTAATATATATTTTATACATTTTCATATCCCGAAAGAAACCAAAATATAAAAAATACATAGAAGCTTTTTTCTATAAATAACATTTGAAGAAATCGTCAAAAATAATTGCATGTTGCTAAAAAATTGAATTAATTAATACTTAATACAACAATACAATTATTCATTTCTTATGAATTAGATGATATTCTTCCATTTAATTATCTAAAACATATTGCGATACATAATTTATTTTCAAGAAATAAATACTTTACTTACGATAATATCTACTAAGAAGTTAATGCAATTCGTTAATAATAACAATAATGAAAAAAAATCCGAAAAAATTAATTGGATTACTTAAACTATCTTCGATTTTGTCTCTAATACAAATTTTCATTATGGTAGTAGATATGCTTTCATGTTCGGAAAAGTGAATGACCATTAAGATAAACAAAAAATAAAAAATAAATAAAAAAGACAGAGACATTAATTTTGATTAACTGCAAAACTGAGCTATTACTAAAGAATTAAAGCGATTAATAAATGTGGATCTATAAATAAAGAGGAAAAGAGAAAAGAAAAAAAAATGTTAAATTTCGAGAAACGTAATGTAAAAATTCGCATTAATAAATCAAAATTTACTTTTAAATAAGTGCTTTAATTACAAAGATGTCTTGCATTATAAATTTTGACGATGATAATTCCCAACATCACGTGATTGATGACACAGAATTGCAAATATGCTGAATGCCATTCTACATAGTAAATTAATCATAGGATTAAGTATCATTCAACAATTTTCCAAAATTTATTCCGGATTTTTGTTTTAATATTTTTTAAATTGTACGTAACTGCTAGACGATGAATCATTTAAGCTTGCGTTTCAAAATATTTTATAATAATAATTAGCTTTTATAAACGTGTAAGCAAAGCAGAGTCGCAAGAGAGATGTATAAATCATTACATGAACTATTTAAATTAGATATCAAATAAAGTACTATCGTTATGTATAATAATTAAACAATTGAGCTTGTTTATAATTTATGTAAATATATTAAAGCTGTGTAATTAGTTAAATAACGTTACCTTCTGCCCTTTTCCAAACAACTCGAGGTTCTGGTCTTCCTATAGCCATGCAGTCTAAGAGAAGAGAATGTCCAACTACTGCTGATTTATCAATTGGTTCAATTTTCCACTTGGGTGCAGCTAAATAAAGAATTTTTCTTTCTCTTAATTAAGAAAATTCATTATTTATAAAGAAAGAAGTGTATATATATTTTAACGAAAAAATATAATATCACTAACCACTAACTGATAATGGCACGGTAAAATTTACTGTTGCAGCATCATTGGATGCCACACATGTGTAAGTGCCACTATGTTCTTGTGTCAGGGATTTGAACACTAATGTTGACACAAAGTCGTCTATTAGTTCTAACGATATCCTTACATCGGTAGATATTGGCAGGCCATCTTTCAACCATAAAATACTAATAGGTGGATCTCCTACAGGCACACTACAAGATACACTTGCTCTCATTCCTTCTTCTGCATTTTCTGGAAAGCTGAATGGAGTAATTTTAGGTGGAACTAGAAATAAATAAACAGAAAAGAAAAGAAAAATAAATAAATAGGAAAAAATCAATAGGACATAAACAACAGGTTTTGTTTAAAATATATTTTTTACAATTCGCATTTCGAGTACGGAATTTAAATTTTATTTTAAGATGGTCAATTTATCTGAATAAATTACATTTACACATGAAAAATTCATATTATTTTTTTCTGGTTTCCGTATGGAGAGGAGCATTAAAAAAATGTAAGTTTCTTGCATAATAATCTCATTATTAGTCAGAAACTATTCGGATACCGTATCATAAATTTAAATCAATATTATCGTTTTTTATGCATTACGAGGATGATATAAGTTGCATTTTAATCAAAATCATTGATTCAAATCTAAAATTATTGCACTCGAAGGAATAAATAAGTGAAGAGTGGAAACACTTTCACATTTAATTTATCCGAGCTATTTCTAGTCTCCAACTGAGAATCACAAATCATGTTGTTCGACTCCAATAGGAGGTTAGTCAAGTATAACAGGGAATACTTAAATATGGAACAACGTTTAAAATATACTATTAAGTCAATAATAATGCTAAATTAACGATGTTTATTTAGCATTATTATTATATTATCTATATTAAATTGATTATAAATCTAATTGCACTTGTAAATCTAAATTTACATCGTAAGATAATATTTTTCCTTCTAGAAGTGATACTTTAAATTATTAAATCAACAGAAAGTGAAATTTAATACATTATTGTTACAAATTTTGACAAGGTTTTTATTGATTTACAGTTATTTGTAAATAAAAAAAATTAGTTTGTCTCTCTGTTAGATATTATATAATTTTGATTTAAGTGA